CTTGCTCACAGGTAGGTTACATGTCTCACAAGTGAATGGTCTGAGCTAAATTGTAAATGGGCAACTGGGTTTTGCCTTCCTTAGAGCAGTGGAATGTCAAGAGCATGGGCCTTCTAGTCAGACCGCCTGGTTATGCTTCCTTCCTTCCTGGACTTGTTCTTAGTTGTGGGATGACTTTTTTTTTTTTTAAGATTTTATTTATTTGACAGAGAGAGACATAGTGAGAGAGGGAACACAAGCAGGGGGAGTGGGAGAGGGAGAAGCAGGCTTCCCCGCGGAGCAGGGAGCCCAGTGTGGGGCTTGATCCCAGGACCCTGGGATCACGACCTGAGCCGAAGGCAGACGCTTAACAACTGAGCCACCCAGGTGCCCCATGACTTTTTTTTTTTTTAAGTTCCTGTTTATTCTTCTATTTCTGTGTCAAGCAGGTGTTGTCATTGTAAAGTTTTCCCATGTAGGACCTTGCTGCTGTGCAATCCACTGCCCCCTCCCTGGTCCATCCAAACATCATCTGACACCTCAGCTTCTGCTTTACCTTCCGCTTTTATCCTCCAGTCGATTCTCCACACTGAAGCCAGAGATGCGGCTCCGATTTGGTCATGGAGGGCTCACCGCTGCCCCCTTTCCCTAAAATGTTTCATGACTTCCCTTCACTCTTGGGATAAAAACCAAATCCTTAACATGGCCCATCCATGGGGCCTTACCTGGTGTGGGATGTGCCTAATTTACTTCCTTTTCTTTTGCACAACTCTGGTCTCTTTTTTTCACTTCCTGTTTCCCTTTCCTTCACTTTCCCACGTGTTATGGCCTCTTCCTTCCCCACACTGCCCAGTTAGTGCATGCTTAGCCCTCCCATCTCATCTCAAATGGCACGTCCTCAGGGAACCTTTACCAGCACACCATCTAGATCATAACCGTGTATACATATGGTTCTTTGCTCCCCAAAACCACCTTCCTGCTTGATGGGTTGCTAGGAGGATTCGCTCGACTCAGAAAACTGCTGTTATACTCACTGTCTGTGACAGCACAAGAACACAGGTCAAGGTCACCAAAGGGAAAAGGCACACAGGGTAAAAAGCCTAGGGGAAACTAAGCCCAAGCTTCCAGGTGTTCCCTCCCAGTGCAGTCACACAGGGGCTCGCTTAACTCTTTTGGCAAAGATGTGTGACAATATGTTCAAGTATCGCCAATGAGGGAAAGTCACCCAAGCTTCGGTGTCCAGGGTTTCTTCCTGAGGCATGCAGTACCTTCGTGACTGACCATGGATATTCGGTGGGATCGCAGAAGGCAAACATACGGTGTGGCTCAGAGCCTCAGGCATACAAAACCCACCATTCTCTGTGAGTCACACTGTTAGCATAAATTACCTGGTCAAACTGATGCAGCGGGGCCTGCAGATACAGGCCTAAAGTCATTCTTACCAGGCCAGATGTTCAAGGGCTCAGGTTGTCTTCTTGGAGCTAGTCAGGGGCCAGAGCTTTGGGATGTGTAGCAGTTGAGCAGCCAAAGCCTGTTCAATGAACACTTTCCTGCACAGTCCGTGCTGGCCCTTGGCTTAGGCTCTGTGACAGCAGAACAGTGATGTCTGCCTGAGCATCTCTACGTAGTAAAGCATTTCTGTGAAGGTGCACTTCAGTATCGTCAGAAATCTGCTTACCATATGAAGGAGGCAGTGTGGGGTATGGGTAGGTTAAAACAACAGTCCATACTGTGAAACCATTACATTCATATCCATATTTCTCTACTAATTTGATAACTTGTCCCTTCTGATCAACTGTTTGTACTTTGTGATAAACCACCTTCCCTGTCACTACCTTAATTTAAGTCAGCGTCCTCACCCATCTGGAAAATAGCCTAACAGATCTTCCCTTTTCTTGCCCCTCCTATAGTTTAATTTCCACACAATACCCAGACTGATCTTTTAATTCACGAATCAGATTACATTACCATTCAGCTCAAAACCCCCCAGATGGTTGTCTATTTCACAGTGTAGTAACTATATATTTTTAGTTTTCTGTGGTTGGCATCTAGGGCCTTGCTGACTGGGGAGACACTGCCCCTCCCTGGACTAGGTAAAATCTTTCAGGACCTCATTTTTCATATGCAAATTAACCGCCTCTCTCTGGCTCCTAAACTCCAGGAGGCAGCATTCCTCTACCCTAAAACTCCAGGGCCAGGTACCAGACAGGGAGTGATCCATTTGCTCCAAAGTCCCTACATTGTATTCAAACAAGTCAGTCCTAAACTGTTTACATGTCTTGCCTTGCCTTTCCTGCAAAATACACAATAAATGTGCTGGGCCATGCTTTCTCCATCACAACTGCTGCCTCCCCATACTGCCTTGTATGGTATGCCTGATGGAATAAGACAGACATGAGCTGGAGATAAGGGTGGTGATAAATAGGTTACACATTAGAAGCCTGGGGTCACACATACTGACTGGCTTCCAACACCCCAGGGCTGCCAGACCAAGAGCCACAGGTGCTGAACCTGTGCTCTCCTCTTCCACCTGTGCACCGGGGTGACCCGTAGATCGTTACAGTAAATTTTCATTGCAGTTTTGTCCCCTCCCCCATGGGGGGAAGGTTGCCAAGAGGGTTCTGGTACAAACCTTGTAAGGTCAAAAACCCCCTCCCAACCAGTGGGAGGAGTCCCCCAAAGGATTGGAAGTAGCCTCCATTAGAGACCACCCCCTCCATGGATCTCTGCAGCCTCAGGGCAGTTGTCACCTCTGCGCCTGCCTGCTCTCCCACCTTGACAGTGTACTGTCCTTAATAAACCGCTTTGTGCGTGCTACCTTCCTTCTGGCTGTCTGAGAGTGGATCCCCATGTAAATCTTTCATGGGGAATCCAAGAACCAAGACTTCCATTCATACAATGCAGAATCTCCCATCGGTAGCATTCCCTGACTCTTATTTGTGGGGATCTGTGAGCATAAACGTTCTTCATGACAATCACTTCCAGGTCTGCTGCCTTATGATACCTGATTAAACAAATAACCGGTACATTTTAGAACACATTCTGGAGCATATTACAACCTCCTTACAAAGGCTGACAAGGTTCTACACAATTTGTCTCCATTTATCTTTCTAACTCCTCTCGTCCCACTTGAACCCCTGCAGTTGCAGCTCTAGACACACTAGCCTTCTTGCTTTTTCTCAGGCACCCTATGCTCTCCCACCCCAGGAATGTCTTTCTCAAAAGACCTAGGAGCTATCTCTTTGAAATGCAAACATCAAGGGAGATAGCATCCCTATCTCCCAATTTCTGTGGGAAAGTAGAGGCCTAATTTTGGGGCACCTTGCTCCAAGTTGCAAAACTGAAAATTAAGGGAAACCTCATTTAAAACAGAGCTGGATGGGGCACCTGGGTGGCTCAGTCATTAAGCATCTGCTTTCGGCTCAGGTCATGACCCCAGGGTCCTGGGTTCGAGCCCCCCATCTAGCTCCCTGCTCCGCGGGAAGCCTGCTTCTCCCTCTCCCATTCCCCCTGCTTGTGTTCCCTCTCTTGCTGTGTCTCTCTCTGTCAAATAAATAAAATCTTTAAAAATTAAACAAATAAAAATAAAACAGCTGGGAGGCAAGAAGGGAGACCTCTCACACAGCACCACTCCATCAATCTCAGGAAGAATTGTCAATTATAGGCCCCATCAGGGAAATATGGACACTGCATTTCCCACAAGATCAACCATCCCTGCAACTCTGCCACTGAGAAACTCTCATCACCTTGAACTGTTGCTCTTCCCTGAAGGATTTTGTTCAAAACAACCGTCCCAACTTACTCCTCCTCCATAAAATAACTTTTCTCTTTGTTGGATTTGCCTACGGTTTTACCATAGCTTGCATGTCTCTAATTGCAATTCTATCCTATTTCCAAATAAACCCATTTTTGCTGGGAAAATAACTTTTATTTTTAAGGTTAACACTACCTTCTACCCTCAGGTCATGATAAGTTTGTTTTCCCCTATGGAAAGCCAATGTAGCAGCAAGTAGGCAGCCCAATTACTAGGTAAATTTAGGATGAATTGCATAACAAGTGGTGCTGTCATGTTTTCTTACTTGAGGACTAATTATTGTCCATGTTGAAAATATGTAATGGGAGACACTGAGAAAGCCAGTACCTGCTTGGCTATATGAAAGGGTATCTTTCTGACTTTGCCATCTCTCAGCGATTATCTGTGATATGGCATCAAATTCTGGTTTAAGCCTTATTTGGTAATAAACTTTTTTCTCTACTCTCTTTGTGGAGAGGTTTTCTGGGTTGGGAGAAGGTTTTTTCTTTTTAAATTCTATTTCTCCCAACAATTTATATTGTTACCTGTCTAAAAGAATTCCATTTAAAACTTTTTGAAACATCTGTATTTGCCAAATAGACATGTGGGTTGATTTTACTATTTGAGACCCCAAATGCAAACTGATTACAGGGTCTGTGAAAATAAAAGCGAATTTCACTAAAATGGAGTCAGGAAGCCAGTGGGGCGGGGGGCTCTCACATGCTGCCTAGGGATGTCAATCACAGACCTCAACAGAAGAATCCTCAACAGGAAAGAATTATCAATTATAGGCCCCAAGGAGAAAAGATGTACATAGCCTTTCCTACAAGCAATAGACTACCCCTGAAACTCAACCAATGGGAAACCGTCTTTTACTAATCTGTTGCTTTTCTCCAATGGCCTTTGCTTCACAACTGCTCCCAAATTTCCTTCCCCATAAAATAGTGTTCCTCTCCTATGTTGAAGGGACTAGCCTATGGTTTTTGCTGTAGCTTCCCTGTCCCTCATTGTAATTCTCTGTTATGTCCAAATAAACCCATTTTTTTGCTGGTCCAAGAAATACACGGAGGCAAGGGGCGACTAGGCTGTGTCATCGCGCCGGATGCGCCTGCAGTCCTAGGCGGGGGCAGGCTCCGGGGCTGTGGGCTGGAGTGGGGGGTGCAAGAGCTGCAGGGCATTCGGCGAGGAGGCAGAAATCTCGGGGAGCGGAGAGGGGCCCAAACCGGACATGCCCTTCAAGCGGGGCGGCGCGCACGCGGTTTCCGACTTCACAGGGGCACGCCGGCAGCTTCCTGCGATCATTCCCACGTGCACCACGTCAGCTCATTGATGGATTCGCGCACTCATGGATTTCTGTAGGTATTCATTCACCGAGACCCGTTCGCATCGTACCCTCTCGGCTGCCCTCCGTTCGTGCCCCCTCCCCGCGGCCCCAGCTCCTGGTGTCCGCCCCGCCCCGCCCCAGCGACCCGCAGGTCCCCGCGCCCTGCAATCTCATTGGCTAAGCCTGTGCGGAAGCTCCCATTTCTGTCTCTTCTATTGGGCACGCTGCCTGCTCGCTCAGAAGCTTCAACCAATGGGAGCCAATCAGGAACTGCTGGCTCAGCCAATGAGGGGGACGATAGGATAAAGGCCACGGCCCCGGCTTGCTGGGATTTCCTTGGTCTCCGTGCGTCCGAGGCTGCGAGCCGCGGAGGAACCTCCTGCGGGCGTCAGTGCAGGCGCTGACCCGAGGCGGCGTAGGGGCAGGTCGGCACCCGAGGAGCGTCAGCCTATCACCTACCTTCACGCCGTTTTCAGGACATTTCCAAAGGGCTCAGGAAGGCTGTCCTGTCGCCATCATCTCTTGCCGGGAGCCACCCAAACGCTGTGATGAAGTCGGGCGGTGTTGGGCCCGCAGGTGAAGGGGAGAGGACCCAGGACCAGAGAAAAGGTTGCGAAGGGCTGGTGTCCGTTGTTGGGGGTGGAGGGTGCACAGAAGGAAGCGCCGACCTCTGTCTGTGTCAAGCAGCCGCAGCAGGCCACGTGGAGCTCAGCGTCCCGCCCGTGTGAGTGTCTCCGGCGCTGTCTCTGGAAGTGGAAAGGGGGTGGGGAGAGAAAGGAAGAGCAAGCGGCACGTGTTTCGTGTTGGCTCGTGGACTGAGAGCTGTTGACCAGACAGCCTGGCTGTGCCCCCGAGAAGGGCAAGGGGCAGAGGTGGGGTTAAGTGAAAAAGGAAGGTGAGCATTCACAGTCCCTGATTGCCCTCCACCTACCTCCCAATCTGAGGCTCTTTTCTTCCTTCGCTCTCAGGCGGCGACTCACAATTGATGACTTTGAAATCGGGCGTCCTCTGGGCAAGGGAAAATTTGGGAATGTGTACCTGGCTCGGCTCAAGGAAAGCCATTTTATCGTGGCCCTGAAAGTCCTCTTCAAGTCCCAGATAGAAAAGGAAGGACTGGAGCACCAACTGCGCAGGGAAATTGAAATCCAGGCGTATCTACAGTAAGGACAGCCTGTAGGAGAATCCGGCACTGGCTTCTTACTCTTCTGCTTTCTCTTCCATCTCTGGCATCTGAGCCCAGCCTTTCCCCCAAACTACCCTCAAATAGGCCACCTTGAAGATTTTTTTTCTGCAGTTCATTCCACTTACACCATGTAATCGTCCCTGTTTCAGACACCAAAACCCTGATGCCTGCTCCTGTTCTCTCACACATTCCAGTATCAGGCTGCTGTTATTCTGGTCCCAGCACAGTTTGCCTTTTGTGTGACCAGTCACTTGTGATAGCATCAGGAGTTGGGTCTTATGAGTCTGACCCTTCCTCTGTCTCTTCTCCAGACACCCCAATATCCTACGTCTATACAACTATTTCCATGACGCACGCCGTGTGTACCTGATTCTGGAATATGCTCCAAGGGGTGAGCTCTACAAGGAGCTGCAAAAGAGCCATACATTAGATGAACAGCACACAGCCACGGTGAGGCAGGGGCCTGGGGGCTCTGAGGCCCGAGTTTATTGTGGACTGCTTGGCGGGGGGGTGGGGGGGTGTCACTGCTTATGGCTGTCATTATTGTCCAGGTTCTTTTTGTTTGTTTGTTTCTGAAATCTGTACTTTTTTTTTTTTAAGATTATTTATTTATTTATTCGAGAGAGAGAGAATGAGAGATAGAGAGCACGAGAGGGAAGAGGGTCAGAGGGAGAAGCAGACTCCCTGCTGAGCAGGGAGCC